TTACTGTGCACTCATCATTTTTTATTGCAAAATTCATTAAGCTGCCATGCTTATTATCATCCTATCTTGTCAAGATGATACATTACAGACTTCATTGCAAAATTTTAACAAGCAGGAGAAAGTACACCTCAGCACAGCACAGGAAAGCCTCTGGGTATTTTGCTTCTGCCTTAATATTTTTTGCTTAAAGCCCTGTGTCTTTGCAAAACTTCCGTCTGTCTGGTAACTCCCTTCTCTCCCTGTTTGATCTTGTGTAGAGAGTTCCCTCCTTCAGGCTCTGTGAGGCATCACAAGCTGCTGTTAAACAACAGTCATTATCTCCCCTGATCTTCCTGACAGCTAGTTTCAAACATCATGGAAAGATGAGATGTTAGCCTATGTTCTGACAGAATTCCATACATGGTGTGAAGCCTCCCCCAAAGTGATGGTGAACGTCTGTGTTTCCTATTTACCCTCCAGCTTTGTGTATTCAGCGGGCCAGACGTGTTCAGGCCTGCCGAGACATGTGAATTTGGGTTGGCTCTGTGTATGCTTTCCTGGCCTCGCCTCTGGCTTCTCTGATAAACAGAGACCCTGCCTCTTGTATGTGGTGGCTTGTCATTAGAATGAGGAGGAGTCACTTGGTAAATATGGAAAGTGAAGTAGCTTAGCACCCAGATTTCCATGGCAACCCCAGAACAAGTACAATATCACCAAAATTATTCTGTGGCTCTCTTTTTTTAGTTGCAGTGATTTGGTTGAATACTCTTGTTTTTCCGCTCCTGATTTGTACAAAATAGCAGAAACTCTGTCCACTGTCAGTAGTATTTTGGTTTCAGGGACATTAATGGTCTATGTCTGAAGTACCTAAAAAATTCAGTCATACAAAACTGCCTCTTCCAGAACTTGCAGAATGCATTTTTATAGCTTATTGCTGCCTTATATTTATGATTCATCTGGTAACTGTTTGTGGAGCTTTATTACATGCAGTACGTGGGCTTGGCACTAGGAAAGGATGGCCGCTGCTGACTTCATGGGTCACTGTAATGGATGCTTGATGTATTCGGTGTGGACAGACAAGGTGGTAAGCCACATCCAGTTTGTCACTCCTGATAGTATGTAAATATAAACATCCAACACGTAACCCATAAATGTTTGCAGTTGTTTGGGGATTTATTTTATTAATTCCTTGGTTCTGTGCTTTGATTTTCTGTGACTAATAGGAGGAGACATGCTTGAGGGAGGCAAGCATTTTCAATTGACTACAGCCAATTTAGGAATATTCTTAAGCTGTGGGTATTCTTTTTGGTCATTTAAATGGCTCTGTGATTTTGTTGATTTGACTCATAACTGGTTGTTGGTTTTTTTGTTGTTTTTTTTTTTTTTTTCAGTCCACTAGCCTATATATATATTTTTTTTTGTCAACAATGTAATTGCCATCACTACGCCTTCTACGTTCTGATGAAAATACGAAAGCCATTTTAAATCACTATTGCCTCAATTTTGTTAATTTTATCTTTTTAAAAAATTGTTTAGGCCATTTGTTCTTATTGGGTTGTCCTGTTAAGAGCAAGTACTCATTTACCTACCTGACAAACATCCTCTATTTTGAGTGACATTACTGAATCATTTTCTCTTTCTTTCTTAATTCATACCAAATGCTTTAGAATTTGTCCTGGTATAATTTGTTATAACCATTGAAACATTTGATTTGCTGTTGATCTTTCTATCCTTTCTTTGGAATAAACCTCAACATCTTGTTAGGGCTTGTCAGCAAATCTAGAAGTCTGTCCACCTAGGAGTTATCAGCCTCATTATATGAGATGTCCTTTAAGATTCAACTCTGTTAGTCTTGTAACCCAAGTGCCATATTTCTAGATTCTCTCATTACATGACCCATCGAGATAGACAAGTAAGTAAAAGTCTGGGTTTTAGGATGCACGTTTGACTACCTTGGCTATAAAACTGAAATCTTGGAGTTTACATTTTTTTGTATTTTCTTCTGACGTCACTCCCTGAGCTATTGCTTTTGCTATTGTTTTGCTTTGTTACTGGTTATATCATATGTGAAAGGTCTTAGATATCTATTAAAGTGAGACTGGAATCTCAAAAAGAATTTATTACTAAAGAAATATGTCTTTCAGTAAATAGAATACTGGAAACTCTAAATTTTGGAGTTGCTACTTACTTTGTTCTATTAACTTATCTAGTCCAGGATGTATGAGTCCTCGTTTCCACACTTTTCACATTCTCTTGTGGGTTTATTCAGATAAATATCGCATATGTATGATACAACCTTTCTTGTTAACTCAATAATAGTTATTATAAGAGAGAGAGTCTCTGGAGAGACTTGGTCTATAATACTGTAATGGTGACTAGTTCTTAAAAGCCTTTAACTGGGCCGTCCCTGGTGGCGCAGTGGGTTAGGAGGCAGCACTGCAAGCTCGTTGAAGCTGTTCCAGTGCGAGTTCAAACCCCATCCCGGAGGTGACCGCGAGGCAGACCTCTCCTGACCTGCTCACTGCTCCCTCAGCAGTATACTTCATCCATCTGCCTGTTCTGCTCCCCACCCTACCTCTGGTGAATCCTCCCACCTATGGCCTGTACCCTAATTCTGTATGCATAAATAAACAAATCTTTAAAAAAAAAAAAGACCTTTAATTAAATCCAGTTTTTAAAGTGAAATCTATTTGTGAGCATTAGGATTCTGATAAAATATTTTATAAAGTAAAACATCTTTATCTAATATTTCCTTCATTTGTGATTTCAAAGTTTTGTCTGTCAAATATCCTATCTTAGATTACTTTTAGTCTTCTAGGAAGGTAAACATGAACAAATATGTACAGCTTAGTAAATGCTCTAGTATTCATCTCATTAAAATGCCAAGGGTCTGCTGACTGGGAACTGTATTTGATACTCAATAGATACTCAGTACTAATGAAAATAGAGGACGCTTTCATCTCAGATACTCTCTTTTTCTAATGGATATGGCAGAAAAAAACATCCTGGTAGTGCTTTATACTCTTAGCAAGATGCAGTTTTTAATTTATAGAACCATATCTATCTCATGGATAAGTATCATCACAAGAGAACTATGAACTATAGTTATTCTCTTTTGTTTCCTGTGAATTCAGAGATGTCATGCAAACTTGACTTCAAATGGGAGTTAATAAAACTATTCATCTTTTGAGATAAAAGAGAAAATGCCTCCAGTTAACTTAGGGATGTGTAGTCTTCAAGTCTGACAGTCTTTGGGCTTCTACTAGTCTTTCAGGAATGTGAATATTTTATGCAAAGGAAAATTTTACTTATGCTGATTCATACTGATAAGTGGCATATGGATTCCCTAAATGATCCCTATTTATGTAATTTCAGAGTTGTTTTTCTAACTGGGAGCAAGTTCCCATTTGCAGGACTTGTTAGTCCTCCTACATCTTGGCTCAGTGTAACTCTTTTGGTTTCTCTTTCTTTGTTGTTGTTTCTGTTTGGAACCAAAACTTAAAATATGAATTGTCCTAAATCTTAGAACTCAAGTTAATCTACTTTTTCTCAAAAGCTGCTTAAAGTTTAGGACTCTCCCAATTGCTTCATGGAGTTTTTAACTCTTCTATGTGACTTTAAACAAGGCATTGAGAATTTGCCACGGTATTAAGAATTATTGGTGTGTTTGTATAAGTGATGTGAAGATTAATGTCATTTTACAAACATGATGTGATTTTTTTTTTGCCCTTCATGATTAGTGCAGGGGAAAGCTAATTTTTATCATGACATCATTCTCTTTCATGCCTAAAGAGACCTAAGTTCAAAACTAAGCTAACAAGTGAGTGAGCCCTGTCTATTGTATTAGGGGTCTAGTATGCCTCGAGCTCATCTTAAAGAAGTCTGGTGACGATTAACCCAGCTGTGATATTTCTCCACAAGTGAACTGAGTACTGAAAGCTTCAGTTGATTTCAGCATGGTGTATCTGCAATACATGTGGGGCAAGAGTCTAATATTTTTCTGCAGCAGTCATGTCTGTACCATTCAGCTAAATCATCTCAAAAATGTTTTCTTCAGCACATGGTTCCAAGTTTTTAAATATGGGAAGTAACAAAAAGTTCTTTGAGCGATGTTTGAAGTTTACAAAACACATTCTTGTTTATGATCCCACTTGATCCTCATGATGGTTTCTTGATCTGTGCAAGACATTTCTCACTCTCCCCTATTGACTTATAGATGCATTAGCCAAGAGTCAGAGAGGGATTGAAAATTGCCTAAGGCCACACAACCAGCCAGAGGCAGAGTCCTAAAGAGAATTAAATTACTTTACCCCCCTGGCTTAGCAAATTCTCCAAGCATCAGTACAACTGTTAAGACCATGGGCTCAGTTATTTGTTTGTTCTCTTCTTTTAAATTTTATGTGCAGATTATACCATATCTTTTACAGATCTATCAAAGAACTAATTTAAAGTGAAACATCAAATACATGGGGCTAGTGGCAACCCAGAAAGCTGTGTCTAGGGAAGTAGAGATTTAGACTTCTGAATTATAAGGAAGTTATAATGAGTGCTATAGAATGTTACGGAATCAGAGACGGGACATGACCTGAGCAATTCGGACAATATTGGGAGCAAGACTATAGAATCAAAGGTGAATGTCACAGAAAACAAGATATGGTTGAATGCAAGAGGACTGTTAAGGCTGTTCTATATTCTGACCCCTCTGCCTGTCAAAAGGAGACATGGCTTATGGTGTTGTGGTCAGGCCATCTTAGGAGACAGGGGCATATAAAGGGGAGGTGTGTCCTGTGAGACTGAGGCAGGGATTTGCTTTAAACTTTCAAATTATCTATTCTGCTTGACTTTCCTTTCCTACTTTTAATTCTTATTCCTCCCTCTGTCCTTTACTTAGCTTTGTTGACCCAGATATCTCAATCCAGTCTTGTTTTATTTTTTAAAATGTTTTCATATTTAGGAACAAACTATACCTAGAGAATAATATTAATATGGGGCCATTGTCTCTCCCCCCCCCCTACCTGCAGAGGAACAAAGAAACAGCATCATCAACTCCAGTTTGGAATCTGTTGTCTCATCAAATACAAATAGCATCCTTAATTCCAACAACAGCTTACAGCCCAACATGAACTCCAGTGATCCCGACCTGGATGTGCTCAAGCCCACACGGCCCAACTCACTGTAAGTACCATGTGTGACTGCCTGCTACAGAGGCCCTTGACTAATGGTTATTCCACCCTGAATTTGTTCTCTGGCCCCAAGCTGATTTTGAACATTACCTGCGAACATGGTTTAAACTTCCCCCCTAAACTTGGAGTTTGGCTAGTTTGGCTGTGGATTTTTTATACATCATCAACTCAAAGGATATCATTGTTTTTAGCATACTGCTTCTTGGCCTTAGTGATCTTTGATTAACTGTCCTGCTGAATGACTTTGGAAATGGCTTTTGCCTGTGCTGGCTGTTGGGCATGAAAAGCAGTTTCTTTCAGTTTTGCAGACATCAAGGCACACTAGTGCTCCAAGAGATCCATAGCCAAGTCTGTTTCATTCATTCATGTTGTTTCAGTTTCCCTTTGCTCTGACTATGTTGAGAATGTTCAGTGCTGATTCTGTGTCCACTTCCAGAAATAAATACCCCCAGGATCCATTTGAATCTGAAGATCCTATAGCTTTAGCAATACTGTGGTCTCTTATCACAGACTATACAAGAGAAAAATCTTTGTTTCTTCATTTTATGGTATTGAGCTCCCAGAACTGAGAAAGATAATTTAGGGACTTGTTTCTAACTCTCCGAGAAAACTAGATTTACTCTGCTAGGGCCAGAAAGTTCTCCTTTGTGGTTTCATCCCACATTGCTTAGCATGTTTCTTTGTACCACCTCATAAATCTTGTCAATTGGAGCCTTTGCAGAAAGAATGTGAGGCCATGACCAGAACAGCTGGACTCTCAGGCTACAGTTGCATAAAAATCAGGAAAAGCAGAGTTGATTTTGTCTTTCTCTAGTGAAAATAGTTTGAAGTACAATCACAGATTGCCTTCAGGACAGTTCACTTGGTGAAATAACAGCAGGTCAGAACCTTCTCCTGACCCTCTTCATGCTGTGGTTTCATGCAGGCACCTGACCTTTCTGTCTCGTTAAGATATCTATAGACCTGCAGGATTGGCCTTAGAAGAGACAGGGAGAGTAATCTTTGAGTGGGAAAGTGACTGAAATGGGTTTGGGACACAACTACAGGAGAAGATAATATCTTACATTGAAAAAACCAAGTTTCTTTTTACTTGTCAGCTTTATGCCTTACCTCAGTATTCAGGAAGCTTGGCTCCTTACCTTGGTAGGTAATGTATTTGTTCAGTAAGACGTAGACCATTGCCTAAAGAGTTCAGAATAATTGAAGTAACTCAGTTGATTGGTTCTCCATGGTTTGGCTTGTGTGTGGAGCTCCTCTGCTGTGTTTTCTCAGATACCTTTAGACCTGTTTTCCTAACTTCAGTGGGATTATAATTTTTTTTCCTCCTAGTTTGCTTAAATCTCTGTACCTGGCTCTTGCTGAAGTTATTTACTGCTCAGCATGAGCAAAGTTCAATCTAGTCCAGGTTGCCTAATATCCCCAATTTAAGCCGACAGTACCAGCTAGTAGCCTTTAGTCTTTGTTTTCAATAACTGGTGGCTGGGAGTTCCCTGAGTCACCACTGAGTACAGTGTGTCCAAAGAGGCTGTTTGGGGATTAGAATGTTAAAGGGGGGTATGTCTTCTAAACAGGTCCTGGAGGCCCTAGGGGGTTAGCATTTTAGCTTTCTTCACATGTCTAGATATAATGTTTTATATGTAACACTGAAGTTCATTCTATTTACTTCGAATCATTCATGGGTCTCTTCCCTACCTGCTGCTTACTTAGGGTTCTTTCCTGGGAACACAGGGTGATGCCAGGAATAGTGATACTTGTTGGCTTTTGCAGGGGTGGATGGGGAGTGTATGTTTGTCTCCATTAAGACTGCTGCCCTTCCAAACTGAGTGAATCTCTGAAAGACACGTTGAGTCCTGAACTCAAAGAAATCTGTTGTCAAGTTGTAGCATGCTGACATGAGTGCTGACACCAGAGCAGCCCTGAGTGAGAGCCCCCAGTAGCTATGCAACAGGTAAAGTGGCCATTTCCCAGGGCAGTCAGGTGTGGTTCACCAGTTCACACCTCCCTTTTCTTTTCTGCCTATGATTTGCCTCGGTGAACAGAACCAGCTTGTCCTGACAAATAAAAGCCACAGTACTTTACCTGAGTAAATTAATTCTGAGAACTCTGTCAGCACACTGTGCCTTGATGATTGGGCTGAGTTGCATCCAAGACCAGTGGATCTTAGCCTTAGCTCTGGACCCTTTCATTCCCTCCATCATTGTTCACTTTGAAGTGTACAGAGATCCTTGAATGGGAACACTTACTGACGCAGAAGAAAACAAAACAAAGTTGGGGGCGGGGGATAACTGTTAGCATAGCTATTAGTTAGGCATCAGGTGGGAAACGAATCACCAGGAAACAGTCTGTTCTTTTTCTGCCTTTCTTTTTTTTTTTTTTTTTCATAAGACTGGAATGATCATTATGATCATGTAACAATCATAATGAAAGAAACATGTTTGTGACTCAGCTGCCTTTGGTACTTCAGATTATACATAGTGTTGTCTCATTGGTGAATCTTTTCCTAGTTCTTCAAGGAGTTCAGGGCCCTTTTGTTTATATGAGCATTATGCTAAATTAGGTATCAGAATTAAAGATCACATCATTTTAGTCTTGCAGGGCAAGGCTGCTGGGTTGAATTCTTAGTTAGGATCTCAGCTAAATCAAATGGAGCCCTCTTTCCTCAGAATCAAAGGGCATTTGGTAAACTGGGACCAAAGTTCAGCTAATCTAACTTTGTCAGCAAATTTTGATGACCCATTTTGAGCCCAGGCTATTTGGGGTAAACCAGAGAAAGAAGACTCCTGTTCTCCTTAAGAGTTTACATTCTGGCTAAGGATAGTGGTATATGCACAGTGCTAAATGCACGTAAATGAATTTAGTTTTCAGAAACTTAACTAAACACTTTTTCAGTAATCAAACCAGACAGTGTACTAGGAAAGGTGGAGGAACTGAAATGAGGTGAGCCGTAGGTATGACTATGAGAGTTGATAAAGAGCATTCCAGCTAAGGTGAATGAGAGAGGCACAAATGATCCAAGAGGAAAAATAAAATCTACAGATGAATAGCAGCAGACATAGTTTCTCCTCCTCCACTGCCACAAAAAAGAAATAGCAGCCTTGAAAATCAGAACACTTCACACATGCTGAAACAAGTAGACATCCACATACAAAAAAAAAAAAAAAAACCAACCTTAATGTAGTATAAAAACACATTGATTCTAAACAAAGAACACCTGAAATTTATGTAATATTATAATACAACACTACTTCAATAAAATAAATGCAATGAGTCTATACATGGACCTTACACCTTTCACAAAAATTTACTCAAAATGGATCATTGACCTAAATGTAAAAGAAAAACTGTAAAATTTCTAAAAGACAGAATAAGAGAAAATATAGGTGTCCTTGGATTTGGTAATGACTATTTAGATACAACACCAAATGAGTAATTTATGAAGGAAAAAAAATGGTAAGAAGGAATTTTTTAGGTTTAGAATTTCTGCTTTATGAATGACACTATTAAGAGAATGAAAAGTCAAGACTCAGAAGAGAAGAAAATATTTACAAAACACATACCTGATAAAAAACCAGGATCCAAAATATACAAAGAACTTTACCATTCAGCAATGAGTAGACAGAGAACCTAATGAAAAACTGGGCAAATATCTGGACAGACTCCTCACCAAAAAGGCATTTCAGATTTCAAATAAGCCTATGAAATGATACTTACATCTTATATCATTAGAGAATTACAAAATAAAATAATGTGCTGTCACTAATAGAAGGCATAGCTAAAATCCACTGACAATGCTGATGGGGTTGTGGAGGAACAGAAATTCATTTCACTGCTGTTGGCAATGGTCACAATTTACCATCCTTTTACAAAAACTTATATAGGAAAATCCAGTAATCACACTTATAAGTGTTTACCCAAATGACTTGAAAATTTATGTCCACTTAAAGCCCACATATTTCTAAGTGAAAGACGCCAGTTTGAAAAGGCTACAATATGGGAGGGAATTAACTAGCTAACATTCTGAAACAGGCAGAAGTATGGAGTCCATAAAAAGGCTTGGTTTCCAGGGATTCAAGGGGAGGGATGAAGCACAAGGCATTTTAGGGCAGTGAAACTACACTGTGTGATACCATAATGATCGATACAAGACATTGTGCATTTGTCAAAATCCATGTAGAAAACACAAAGAGTAAATTCTGATATAAACTATGAACTTTCATTAATAATGTACAACATTGGTTCATCAGTTAGAACAAATGTACCAAACTAATGAAAGATGTTAATAGTAGAAGAGATTATGTATGAGTAGGAAGTGGTGTGTGAGAACTCTAAACTGTTTTGTACAACTATTCCATAAACCTAAAACTTCTCTTAAAAATAAAGTCTAATTTTTTAAAATCCAGATTTACAACTCCTTTTGAAAATTAGATTTGGCCACTAAATCCATGTTACTTGATAATAGATGTTGTGACTCTCTCTTCTCACAACCGCCCTGCTTCATTCTTTTATATCTTCTGCTTCAATGCTTGTGAAATATGGCCAAAGGATATTTGTTTTTCCTCCCTGTAAGAAATGCTGGCCTTCACCTATTAACTTGATTTAGCCAAGATAGAAGGTGGTACGTTGGCATGGTGTAACTTCCAATGCCAGCCCACAGACCTTGCTACTTTCCACCTCATTCTCTTCGAAGCCAGCTTCCATATAAATAAGCTTGCTGTGGCCTCCTAATTGATGAAAAGCTGTTGAAGAGAGAACTGAGTTCTGAGGAGGCCAGCAGAAAGGCTTTTTTGTCAACTTACAGATTCATGAGAAAAAAGGCATTACGGTTGTTTTAAGCAACTGAGATTGTATGGATTTGTTACGCTTCAGTAGTTAGTTAACACAATACTTATGAGTTTGTAGTTGTAGAATCATGGGCCACTGCCCTGGGATGGGATTGAGTTGCTTGGTTGAGCTAGACGGGTATGGAAGGTTTCTCCTGAGTAGTGACAACAT